GGAATCTCATCCTTATGGAAGGAATAGAAAATTTCATTCGGTGCAGCATCCAACAGGATGCCTTTACCGAGCTTTACTTCAGCAGGTCGATAAAGCCAATTTACACCTAACTTCAACTTATTCTCTTTGCCTGTTGTTATCCAATGAATTATTCCAATGAAAGGTGGAGAATCTTGAGGAGGTTTAAACAGAGCACAATCACCAATATTGATCTTGCGTCCGTCCTACATAAAAAGGAAAAAATAAGAAAGAGGAAATTACTTATTTGTTATCTTAGAATATGCAATAAATGAGGTAAAAAGATTCCATTAAAATAAATAAATAAAAATATAAAAAATCTGGGTATCAATTAAAAATTAACCACCAATATTTAGGTTGCTAAATATCAGATGGTCTGTGATCCAAGATGAGCTCCTTTAAAAAGTTTTCCTTTTTCTCATAACAAGGGATGTAATACAGTCCTTTCAGGCACACACTCGGTACCATTTGTAATTCTATCATGTATTCTTACGCCAAATCAAGCAGACGTTCTCATTATTACAACTTACTGATGTTTGATGACAAAAAGCTATAAACTATAGTACACGATTGTTTCACTGATCATTAAAATATGCAAGAATCTCTTTTTCTTGCCTATATAATAAGAGCAATTTTTTTCCAGTTTTCACAGCCTTAGCTACTCCCTCCACTATTTTAAGCCAGTCTCAGCGAATCCTAGTCATAACCAAGACTCTTATACTCTGTAGAATCAAAGAAAATGCTCGCACTCTAAATTTCTATCACCCCACAACCCAGACTTTCCATTTGAAAGGTAGTCCAAGGGACAGAAAACGATGAAAGCGTGATTGAGGACGGAGAGGAAAACAAAAAAGGGAAAACCTCTTTGTAAGGAAGTAAAATAACATAAAAAAAGAAAAAGACTTCTCAAGAAATCCAACGTAATCAATCTCGTGAATTTTATATGAGAAGTCAGAATTAATAGCTCATTAGATTACTCATAATTCCCATGACAATTGTCACTTAGAAAATCTAACAGGCTATTCTCAAGATTAATAGCTAGTCGGTCCCAAGTAAACCTCCTTTTGGACACAAGTAAAAAAAAGGGGTGGGTTCTAAATTCTAATCTTCCTTTTGGACACAAGTTTAGATTATAGTTTTACAATAGGATGAAACACATCCAAAGGGAACGTCTAAAGCCTCTGGAACTTCTTATGGACAGCTGAAATGAAAATTATCCCTATAAAGACTAGCTACTCTAATACTGATTCTACCATTTTCCGACTTTGTTCGGTGAACAGACCATTTGTTATACCCACTTTCCATCTCCGTCTCTCTACACCTAAATTCGCTCGGATTTCCCAAATTGGCTCCATTTCCTTATCTCCATTACCAACTACCAGCAAGCGAAAAAATCATCATTATTTTCCCCAAAATCAGGTTCGTTTCTTCAATTCAACTTCTTCCAATCCAAAATAAACAAGCTTTACGATGAAATAAATCCTAAATTACGCAACCCAAAACCTTATATCCGCCGGAGAACCACAAAACCTCGAAGCACAACGGAAAAACACCAAAAACTACCACATAGAAAAGGAAAACCCACCCAGGAACAACGAACGAAAAAAGGGAAAAACAAAATCAAACCTTGTAAAACGAATTTGGTGAAGACGAAGACGTCGAAGAAGAACCGTCGGCCGCGACGACTACACGCGTGGGGACAGTCCACATGTGCCGACTCCGTTTCCTTTCCTCACCTCCCCTCCTCCCATGCATAGCCTTGCATTTTCCCCAATTCCCGCCTCGATCGCGCCCTCAATCTCAACGAGAACCATCAATCCCAACCCTAATTTCCCCCTCCCACCTAAACCCCCACGAAAATCATCAGCCTTTCGAACGATTTCTCCAATTTCAGAACTCCCGCTGCAAAACCCTAGATCGATTGATCGAATCGGAAACAGGAAACCCTAGGCCCCTTAGCTCCGACGAATTTCGCCAAAAGCAAAACCCTAATTCCAACACGATTCCTTCACCACCGCCGAACAATCAATCCAATCCGTCGCTCAGATCCAATTGAGAGGTTCAGATTGCGAGCCGCCTTTCGATCCAACTGTGTCGAAGAGTGAGAAAAGGAGAGAGAAAGAGGGAATTTAGAGAGAGAAAATGAAGAGAGAGAGAGAGAGAGAGACGGCAAAAAAAAAAAGGAAAGGTGTACTTGGTACTTGGAAGAGAGGGCAGGGTTCGGGCAGGCGGGCAGATCGGGCAGCCTAGAGAGAATGATAGGACCACCCCTAGGTGACACTCCAGAAGATGTGTGTGTTATTTTATTATTTTATTTTTTTATGTTTAAAGAATGTGTGACTGGACTTTGGTATCGAAGTGGCTGTGTTGACTCATCAGAGGATGTTTGACTTTTGATGTTGCAAAGTGTAAGTGAGACTCAGAGAGATAGGACTTGAGGAGTCTCATATTTCAAGGCCAGAAATAAAATAGATTTCCAAGCATATATGATATGATTTTTTTGGTGGTAAATTCCATATGATGTGATTGCTCTTTAAAATTTTTTTTTATTTTATACCTCTCATTATTTTAAATCATCCTCAAATTAAGCTGGAATGTTTTTTAGACGTTAAATTTGATAAAGTTTATACCTTTTTGTAGATCTCTTTCATGAAATAATAATATAGTTATCTTCGATAATAGCAACTTATATGGTAACATATAAGTAACCGTAATCTTTAATTCATTAAGAAGACTCTCCCAAAAAAAATTTTAATGAATTGTTTTTTACTTGTATACATGATGAAGCCGCATTACTTTAAGTGGGAGGTATATGCCCCCACTTAGAATCAAAAAAGAATTATTGTTTTTAAGAATTTTAATAATTCAAAAAATTAATTTATCCATAGTTAATAAAGAAATTTATATAAAATTCCCACATAATAGAATTCTAACTACATCTAATTTGTGTCTCTTGTATTTTATGTTGTGCACTTGCTGATAAAATTTTTATTAATCTATTTATGGTGGTTGGGGTGGGCCAGGGTGTGTCGTGGAGGGGCAAACATGTCATTATGAAGGATAGACATTTCAGAAAGAAGAGGGGCATAAATTATGATGGAGAAGTTAAGGTTGTCTTGTGTTGTTCCAACACACGTTACTAAAAAGTAAAGAAAAAAGGGTGATGATGTAAATGTTCTGTTTCCTGGCAGGAACTTGATTTTTTGACCTTCTTGCTTAAGTAAGCATGAGCACTACCTACGTCCGTCTCTCTCTCTCTCTCTCTCTTGCCATCTCTCCCCTTTAACATTGTGAACCCCTCTTGCCATTTTTTTTTTATTTCGTTTTTGTTTTGGTAAAATAAAAGTGGGTTTTTGAGGTTTCAAGTAGGGCCGGTAATATAAGTCACGACACGACGATACGACTCAAAAACGATACGAATTTTGCGAGTTAGAGTTGAGAAAAAAGAAATTCGGGTCAAAATTGGGTTGACATGAAAAACACGTATCAATTTCGGGTTGGACCCGCATAACTCGAACACGCCACGAAACTCATAAAAAACTAAAAAATACATATATTTTTCATTTCATATTTTAAATTTTATTATGAACTTGTGATATCATGATAGTTATACTCAAAATCTTATACTATTATTTGCTTAATTTCAATGGATGTTATTGTAATTTAGTGGGTTATGAATTTTAAGTTATTTCTAATATGTAAAAAAGTAAATAAAAATATACAATTTTCGTGTCAATTTCGAATTCACGGGTCAATTTCATGTCACGGGTTATTTCGGGTTGTGTCAACTCGTAAAGTGGTCGTGTCGTGTCCGTGTTGCGATTTTTAAAAAATTTCATGTCACGGGTCGTGTTCGGGTTGACTGTAAATTAAAAAAAAACGATCAAAACACGACACGTGACACGAATTGTCACCCCTAATTTCAAGTTTCAACCAACCATGGTATGTGTGAGCTAAAGAGAGAATTGGATGGAGTCTTGAATGTTCTTTGCACTATGTCAGAACAACAATATTATTATTGCTTTCAAGTGAGAAAAACAACAATTTTTTTTTTCCTCGTCACTTATTGCCCAATATTATTATTTTTTATAACGGGTTAATAAGAAAAGTTTTTATTAGGTTAGTGTTTAAAATCTTAGTTGATCATTTTCTCATAATAACTTATTTATTCTCATAATAGCTTATGGTTTTTATTCCTTCCTCTCTTTTTTTTTTTTTTTTTGATGAGTTGGAATTTCATTAATGATCAAAAAAATATAGATAGAGAAGTAAAATCGTGATCAACTAAGGCGCAGATCCAACTCTCCGCATCTTTCAACTAAAAGAAGATAATGCCTCCACATTCTTTATGTGATTCCTTGGACCATTTCCAGAACAAGACCAAGCACAATAACTATAAACCGATACAGTCAAATCCTAGACACAACATTTTACGCTAAAAATAGAATTGTCAATCTTCATCCTCTAAGTGTACATTTTTATAATAGCTATAGAGGTTCTATATTAGAGCCTTAGTACGTCAAATTCAAGTTTCCCTTCTTCAGGATTGTGGCCCCCAAAACAAAAGTTGAATTAAATAAAAAAGTAATCAAAAGTTCAGTTCCTTTTTTTTTTTTTTTAAATCACCTTGAGACATTATTGGCCAACATTTTTATCATATGGGATTACAAACATCAATAGCAATGCAAATGACCATGCTATACGCGAGATATGACCCTCAATTGAGACCGATTCCACTAGTGAAATCGAATAACGCTCAAAAGAAGAAGACGTACGCCGAGACCTAATAATGAGAAAATTTCCGACACACCTGTAATCAAGCTCACATAAGGCTCTTTTTGAAAACACATATACAATCAATAAAAGTCTCTAATCGATCAAGAGCGACAAAACACAATAGCATGAAGGCCAACCAACAGAACGCCAAGACATAAATCTAAAGGGACAAAGACAAACTCAGAGTGCGGGATAACCAAGTCTGACCTGTTTTTCAAGAATAGGTTTTAATCTGTGTTTCCTCAAATCATGACCAAGTCTGACCTGAACTATAGGCCTCAAATGGGGAGGACAAAACGACGAGGAAACAAATGCAAATTCACTATATAGTAAATACCCACGAATTGTTGTGGTCTCAGAACACGAAAATGATAAGGAGCAGAGAATAATAGAAAGTAACACTAGATAATGTCCTCATTTGGTTCACTAGTTCAAAGTGTATTGATTTGAACAGAAAAATCTGAATTGCGTAGTTTAAACTGTAGTCTGAACCGACATTCAAATGTACAGTTAAATTTTAAGTTTGAATAGGGAATAAAATTTAAATTTGTGTTTAGTAACTAACCATTTTAAATTTGTATTTACTGTTCAAAAATAATTTGAACGGTTGAACTTGAGAGGAAACTAAATTTTAAATTAAACAATTTAACTCAATTTGAACAGATAATATAATTTAAACTGTCTACTTACTAAACATCAGTTCAATTTATACTCACCCTTCTAATTGAGTTAAATTGAGCAAAAGCGGTGGAAAAACGGGCAATATTTATTTGAATCCTGCGAACAGTAAGAAGGAAAGCCATTCAGGGTAAAAGTGCACGTGTTGGTTGGCAACTAAAATGCTTCTGAAATGCCAAGACTGGTATGATTATGCTAGACTGTGCACATTGATTGATGCTATAAAGATGCATAAATGGGTTTTAAAAGACACCGAGCAGGAACGTACTGTTACCACAAAAGGAAAGTTCAACTGACTTCCATACAAGTTTGGTCAGGTTTAACTGTGAGTTTGTCAGATTTTAGGAGATGTTTACTTCTTGTATTCGTCCTTAATTCTGAATCATGATTCATAAATCTATAATATTTTTCTTTCACAAAAAATATACGTAAAATGAGAATAATTCTGAATTATTATTCTAAATACATGAACTAAACATTAGTGTTTTAGATACCACACGAAGACGGCTCATATTGATGTTTCACAAAGCCAACAAAGCAAGGGTACAGTTGAAAGTTTGCTAATAAATAAGAATATTTTTTCTGTTTTTAACAAGAAAGCTGAGATATTTTGTTAAGATCAAAGGGAAGTAGAAACTAGAAAGAGATAAAAAAAATTGGAGAAAAAAACATAAAACATGAAAAGAGAAGGAAATTGCAACATACACTTTCAACTAAAATGAGTTAAAAGACGGAGGCCTATTGGTGCAGAAGACCCAGATTGCAACATACCCTTTCAACTAAAATGAGTTAAAAGACGGAGGCCTATTGGTGCAGAAGACCAAAATTTCAGTCCTTCGCATGGAAAATTTCGCGAAGAACAATTGTTCCTTTCTATCCATATTGCCCAATTCTAACGAAAATAACGCGCAGACAGAAAAGACACTATTGCTAAACTTAACTCATAAACAGGCAACTAACAGTCCCTCCACATCATAAGGCAATACGTTGTGAATTGCCTAAAGTCACTGATTCTAAATTCAGAGCAAGAAGGTTATATTGCAGAACACCGACATACCCAACAGAGAGTATGGTTGAAGAAAGGAGAAACCGGACGCCATCACAAGACATTTATCATCCTCTTCATCTCAGCAGACCTCCTTGGATCAGGTTCTTCAATTGCTCTCTCTGTAAGCACATGCTTGATACGACACATTGACTTCCTCACCTTATTTAACAAACAAATAATCATCAAGAATAAATAAGCATTCTAGTGCAAGGAAAACTTTTTATGCTGAAGAAAAAAATGGTAAAAAAGGACACTGGCAAGAACAAAATTTTATTTTGTACGGCGGTATTATTATAGCTTATTTCCTTCTTTTTAACCTTGACTAACTCAAAGATGGCAGGAAAAAACTCACTACATGGTATGTCAGGTCACCGCACTTCATGTGAATTGTAAAATGCAAGTTGCAACATCACAATTCACAACAATTGACAGTAATTCAACGCATTTAATACAATTTGAAAATGAACGAGGAACATAGAGTGCTAGTCATTGTAGTTTGCCAATATGAAACTATAATTCAGAAACATGATTTCTGCTAGCGATTCACCGGTATAATCCACTTTCACCAATTTTTTCTCATTGCAAGGGATCACCATTCATAGTGGTTTTTACCTAAATGAGATAATGCAATTACTGGTGCACTTTGTTAAGAAGAGCATCGACTGTGGGCTAAAGACTGATATATGAATATGTATCGGTGATCTCGTGATTTTAGGATAAAATCACTACTCATAAAGTTAATTACAAAAAAAGAAGAAACAACTTGATCCAGCCTTTAAGAACAATGACATATAACATGGTGCAACGAGATAGGAATTATACCTTGGGAATTCGCTCAGGACTAGGAAAGCGAAGATTTTGGGCATGAAGCATCTGTCGTTGTGTCATCAGCATGTTTTTCTCCTTCAACAGGACATACCACAACTTTTGAAGGTCATCCCAAGACTTCAAGCGCAGTTCAGAAGCTTTCCAACTACGACCTGACAATTGCAAATTAGTAGCATCACTTATTATTCATGTGATAAGAACAGAGGCAACTCATCAAGGAACAAACTTTCAAAATCTATTTCATGGAAAAAAAATGATAATAAAAATAGAATCACATACTGGAGAATCATGATTAAGTCGAAGTTTCAGTGCTTTGGTACAGGTGAACTGAGGTAAATTGCTTGAACTTATGCTTTTATGTTACATTTCCGCCAAAATAACAAGCACAGAAAATTCACCTGGGATTCGTGCCCATTGACCCCATGATTGATTCTACACTTGTACCTTTAGGAAATTTTCGGAGTTTGTTATACTTCAAACTTCCGTATCAAACCATGTAAAACACATTTTTCCTTCAATTCACACATTCACACAGTGACACAATCTTCTGTGTCCAATTAAAAATACATGTTTTCATGTACCAGTATTTTTTTTTTTTTTAATCCAGAAATCCCCTGAACTCACTTTGTGAGTCCTAGTGTGAAACTAGAGCCTTCAGCCAAACCCCACAATTTTTGGAACATAGGAAACTATACAACTCTTTTTTCATGCAGGTGCCCATGAGGTGGTCGAACCCTAGACCTTGTGGAACAAACCTAAGGCCTAACCATTCCAACCAACACCCCATGGGCTGTTTTCATGTTCCAACACCACATTATTATGTTTGCATGTACCAACATAACAATGCAACAACCTTCAAAATCAGGGGAACAAACCTAAGGCCTAACCATTCCAACCAACACCCCATGGGTTGTTTCATGTTCCAACACCACATTGTTAACAATGCAACAACTAGCAGAACCTTCAAAATCAAGGGCACTCCCACCCCCAGCACAAAACACATTCGGGTTTCACTTCATTACCTGCAATACTATAGTATGCCTACTTGTTCTATACAATATTTGCTAGCAAGAGTACCTAACGTAAGTATGTGAGAGCAAGGTTAACATAACACCCTATTAGCAAAAGTAATAGAATAACCATAGTATCGATAGAAGAGGAATGTACCATAGACAACCGGCTTATCGTCTTCTGGACTTCTGTCTACCTCAAAGAATTCCTCAAGAGGGTTGTATCCTGTCCTAACTGAAGAAGTAGCGGCTGCAGCAGCAACTGAAGTCTCCGACTTAGCTGCAGCAAGGAAAGTTCTCCCAATGTATCTCGATAGAAACATGACTCCGGTCCAATGGCTGCATAGGAGAGTGGAAGCAAAGATTATTGCAAAACAAAACAACAAAGATGGAAAAATGAAACACTCTTTTTCAATGACATTTTTTCAACAATAGCCCTTATCCAAGCTTGAGAACAAAGAGAAACACACCCACTAACACTCTAGAAGGTGACCAATGATTGTTGATTTCCATTTTGACCAAAATGACTCTAACATTAAGACCAGATTAGATAGAGGTTCTTAAAATCTAGAAAAACAAAAATTAAACAATCTATTGAAAAGATAATAATAACACCAAACACCATGAACAGAAATGCATTAAAAAAACATCCAATTCAAAATTTAATTTCTATATAATCAGTTTCATTTAACGTATATTCATAATAACTAACAAACTAAATCAACACAAATCTAGGAAATATCTCCTTTTAAAACCCAAAAAAAAAAGTAGAGGGAGGGAGAGAGAGAAAATAACTGCTTGTCTCCGCTTACCTTCTTCAGCTAAAGATAAAAGGTGCCTTTTTGTGGATTTCAACTCAGAATAATGGTATCATTTAGTATATTTCTTATAACTTTTTGGGGAAAAAAAGGATTTTAATTCTAAAATGCAGAGCATAAACCACTCTTTAAAGTCATATTAGTGTAGATACATACACATATAAAAGCATCAGTACCTACTTCTAGGACCTCTTAAACAAATGGTATATAACAAAGTGCAAATAAAACATATATCATTGAAATTGAGTTGTTACAAAACAACGTTAACTAGCACAAGCAACACAAACACTTACAAAAGACAGTGTCAAGGCCTCCAAGTTCAATTAGAACAAGTAATATAGAAAGATGGAATATACCCACATCAAGCGCTTTCAATATAAAAAACTTACAAGATGCTCTGATTGAATCATATCAAAATAAAAATTTGCAGCTAAATTTCCATGAATTTATAGAACTAAATGGCAACCAAGCCTTGTTTCAGTAAAATTCACCCCAAAATTGTACTCGCCGTGGATCCAACATGGATCAGAATCAAAGAAGACACGACAACAGACAACACCGAAAACTTAAACGTGCCAAAAATAGTTTCACAAAAACAAAATAAAATTCTAACAAACAACAAAATAAACGATTTATCCACTGTTTGATACCAAAAAAAAAAAGAAAAAAAAACTCACAAAACTCCAGCCCAGATCAAAGAAGAACAAACCACTCACCAAAAAAAATAATAATAAATAAATAAAACAGATCGCCTAGAACTTAACATTAGCTAAAAAAAGCTCACACCTTTGCACCCCAACTCAAAACCCACAAACCAAATTAAAAAAAAAAAAAAAAAAAAAGCAAACAAACAAACAAAAAACAAGCACCAAAACAAGAGATTACTTCGCCCAACGCAATTCAAAAATCCAAATTATTAACCCACGGAGAACACAGAATCAACAAAAACTCAATATTTAGCTGAGCAAAATTGCGATTGATAAATTTTCCTCACTAAAATTGCGATTCTCACAGCTTCTTTTCGGTTCCAAACACAAGAAAATAAAATCCTCTCCCATTTTCTTTTCTTATCCTCCCTAAAATCAAGGCTCCAAACAAGTTCCAAACCAAAGTTCTAACCCTAGGATTTTCACAGATTGAAAGTGAACGAAAGTTAGCATTTTTTTTTTAGTATATTCAATAGAAGGTTGAAGAAAAGGAGGAAAATGGAACGCAGAGAAGAAAGAAAAAACTGAGAAATGCAGAGATCGGCGTACCTCGGCTGATCGGCGGCGAGATTCTCACAGACGGCAGGTTGAAGACGAAGATGGTGAGAATGAAAGAGAGAATCCGCGGGAAGCAAAAGGGAAGAAGAGAAGGAAGTGGTTGGGATTTGGTGGCCTGAAAAAGTGGGCTTTATTTAGGAGTTGAATGTGGCCCAGCTTGATCAGTAAATGGACTCAAGTTGGGCTGCTTGATTAGCAGGCTGCATAAGTAGCTTCTACTATGGCCCATTTAACTCCTAAAAGCACTTAAAAAAAGGTGGGAAATAGGTCAAGATTTTGGAGGAATTATAATTACTAGGTCAATGTTTTAAAAAAGTTAATAAATAAGCTAACTTAAGGTAAATTTAGATTTACAAACACATGAATTTCTAAATATACTCTTGGTAAATATAAGTTATGTCGGCGGTCTCCCAGTCTTCGGCCGGCCGCGCCATAATCTGATAGGTTATGATCCATAACCTGATAGGTTATGATGCATAACCTAACAGGTTATACCTGCCAGCGGCCATAACCTGACAGATTACACCGGCCGCCAGCCATAATCTATCAGAGGTTATGATCCATAACCTGACAGATTACACCAGCGCCGACCATCGTCCATCAAGTTATGATCAATAACCTGATAGATTATGCCAATCGTCGGTCGCCGGCACTAGCCATAGTTTATCAGGTTATGTTCCATAACCTAACAAATTACGCCGACTGCCGGCCTCTTGTCACCGGCGCCGATCATAGTCTGATAAGTTATGATCCATAGACTGTCAGTTTATACTTTATAACATGACAACTTATGTTTCATAATCTGTCAATTTATGAGATTATAATCCATAACCTATCAATTTATAATCCATTAACTGTCACATTATGTTCATAACCTGACAAATTATGATTTATAACCTGTCAAATTATTAAGCATAATCTATTACATTATGTTGTTTTTTCAACGAATATCACTAGTTTTATAGCAACAATAATCAAATTGAAAAAGTCAAACACAAAAGAAATATCGAACAATCAATAACACAAAAAAATTAATTTATAAATTCAAATCTTAAAAACAAATCTTAGATCTCAGAATCATAATCTGCTATCGATTCAAGTATAATCTATCAGTAAATTATAGCATTTTCCCTTATTTGTTTTAATTTTTTAGTCTCTCAAACTTCTCAGATAGCTCATTTTCCACCTACCAAAAATAATTGACTCAAAAGCATCATATAGGAGATTTTTTTCTTTTTTGATGAAAAGATACTTTATAAGGCACACCGCCAACAAAGAAAAGGAACAAAGCTATTTACCAGCTACAAAACACTAGCACCACAAACGAAAGAGAAGCTCTCACAAACCTCGACCAAGAAAACTCACAATGCTCCAGACCATCTGCTAAGCCTTTAATGTCACAGATTAGCACTTGAGGTCATCTGCAGACCATCATATAGGAGAATTGATTTTCAAAAGCCAATAACTCTAATTCTTAAATCTGTGAGGTATGCATATATCACAAAGACGTGTAGAACATATGAAAGCAAATTATTTTTTATGGTGGTACAATCACATGGTAAGAATCCAAACACTGCATTGCACAATAACAAAAAGTAAAAAAAGCTAAATTGTCAAATTTAAACAAAAATACTTTCAACTGGAAAATAATACGATTAAAAAGTAAAGATATCGTTTTATGAACAAAAGATTTTCCTCTTTAGAAAGTAAGGCCTTTCTCATAGTTATCAGTCAATAATAAAGAATAATTAGAAGGATGAATAAAGTATAACCAAGTTAAACGAAAGAAATGAATGAATAAAGAACATCAATTTCTTATAACATCACTTACTTCATGCACTGAATTATTGTTATTACTCTGAAATAGTTTGTTGAACTATTGAGGAAAAACTTCAGATGAGTTGAAGATGTTAGGCAACAAAAAGTTTAATAGTGTCCATAACTCCTTAAGATTGTTTTGCATAAACCAAAAAAAAGTAAAAATTACTCAATATGTCAGATCAATGAGTCCATATTAAAACAGAACAATATGCTTGTAAATTATCGTCTCAGTAAAAATGCTTGTTTCTTCTTGTGAGGAAGACAAAAATTTTGTTAACAAAAAGAATTTTTTTCGTATAGTACCAGTTAACAATGACCTTAGTGGTCAAAAGGACATATGTATCCACCAAAACCACAAATTAAGATCCGGATCTCGCGAACTCGCTAAGCATAGAATTAGATCTGGCCAACTCAGATATGTAAATCCGGCGAATGGAGCTGCATGCAGACGGCAACGAGAAGAAGGGTCGATAACCAGGGTTTGTCTCCAAGCGTGGAGAGACGTTGTTGCGAGATCTTGCACTAAGGAGAACCAATGTTGCCACCTGTCATAGATATGGTGTCGAAGCATTGATGAGTAAACGGAATCTCAGACAACAACGAGAGGGGACTTTGATGTCAATGAAGGTACAACGACGGCGGCGAGAGGAGACTCACGAGCTACAGCTCTGGCCACCGAACCTCAGTTGAAGAAAGACTAGTTCTTCTTCTATTTAACAAATGCACAATTTTGATGAAGAGAAAACAGATCGAGAAAGAAAAAGGAAAAGGAAAAAAATAGAAGAAAATGGTAAATTTGGAAATGAAAAATTAGAAATACAAAATGGCCTATTTATTTTCATAAGTTGGTAAATTGGTCTATTGATACATTGGATTTATACTTATCTTTTGATACATCTAATTGAGTGTTTGTTAGTTTTATAGTAGCTTTAGTAGTTAATTTACGTGATTTTAGTTGGCTATGTAGATTAGCATCATTTTGAGTTCGTAGGTGCGTGTTGGAGTAATTTTTAGAGCTAAATTAAGATTGGAGAGCCCCGGCCTTAAAAGATAGCGCTTAGGCATTGAAATGGTTCATTTGCAGTTAAAAAACCTGAGAGAAAAGAGCCTAGGCTTTGTGCAATGGAGCCATGGCACCAAATTACAGAGAAACAATTTTCCGCCCAGGGCCGTGGTGCCCAAATAGTAGGGCCGCAGCGCTACTTCAAATTTTTGCCAATTTGAGTGATGTGGAGTTCCAAAAATTTACGACAATGCCATTATGATTTAAAACTCTATAAATATGATTTTTAGGGTTATTTTCTACATCTTTTTGGCGAAGAAAAGAATGAGAGAAGACGGGTCTATGAAGGAAAAGAGGATTTGTTCAAGAACGGAGTTCAATTTTGAATTCGCCAAACAGTTTTACTCTCTCTTGAATTTCTTATGTTAAATTTTATTGTCATTATGTTTTCTTTTTCAATGATGTTATAAATTTCTAGACTAATGCTACATGTATAGCCAAGGCATGAATATTTAATTTCCGTTATTTTCTTTTAATGAAGTTTATTCACTAAGAGTTTTCCATTCATGTATGCGTTTCTTTTATTGGTCTTAATGCTTTCAATAAATTGATCACTTGTTGAATTGAATTGAAAACCTAAATTGAAACCCAAGAAGGAGATTTTTAGGAATAGTTTCTAATAAAAGGAATCGTAAGGTGCGTAGGACATCGAGAGATAGTATTACGACTTGCGAGAGCAATTTTGGAAAAACTAAAGAACTTAATGAATTTCTAAGATGGCGGGATTCACATCTAGCGATAGTGAATTTACATGTTAAAAATATTTTTAATAGCATCCACAGAAAGACAATTAGATAAATTAAGGTTTTTCGTTCTACTACATGAATGAGAGGCGATGTTAGCGAATAGTTGGAATTAAATAGGAATTGTCTTGGTGAAACTTGTATGCTTTAGTATTTTCTTTGCATTGATCTCTTTTCATAATTATTTTACGTATAATTTGTTATTTTATTTTGCTTTCTTTTCAATTTTGATCCATCTCAAAGATGTTATTTGTCTAAATAAAGTTAAAAATATAAATTTCAGTAATTATTAAGCTAGTCTCCGTGGGAACGATATCTTATTCACTCATTATATTGCTTGTACGATTCGTATGCTTGCGAAAAATCACATCATCTATTTACCTCCAAACTTTTAAATTTTGGACTATTTCCTACAATTTCTCAAAAAAAATATATGGCTTTTTTTAAAAGACAAAAATAGGGTTTTTAGGCATATAGCAAAATTTTTAAAATATTACAAAAATAACAAAATTTTAAAATCATTAGAATAATAACTATATCATTATGCAGCACAAAATGTAGCATCATTATAATAATGATGAAGTCATTTTTGCTATATTTATAATATTATGAAAATTTTGTTAAATTTCAAATCAAGGTATGAAATTTTATCATGTAGTGTAATTATCATAAGAGAAGAGAATGTAATTATAATGTATGGTAAAAGTTTATAAAGGACTTGTTCTTTTGAGTGAAAAATTAAAAAAAAAGGTAACTCGAGTTACAACTTTATTCGGGTTCATGTCCTTTTAAGTTTAAACTAGAGTTTAAACTCGAGTTTAGGACTTAAACTCGAGTTCAAGTCTCCCCTTCAACTCGAGTTCAGAAACTCGAACTCAAATTAATGAACAATATTTTTTCTATTTTTAAAAATGCTATAACTTTTTCGTTTTAATTCTGATTGAGATGATTTTTTTTTCTATGCGTTGACAACGAAAAGACAAATAAAACCCGACCCATATACCCTATTAAAATTTTTCATTAGCATTGAGTTTTTATTAAAATACTATCTAAATACAAATTCAAGTTTTGACTCACTCAAACACAAATTCAAAAAGATTCTTATCTAAAACCATAACTCAAATGTACACTTCTACTTTGTTTTAAGTAAGAGTAGATACTGAAGGCTTACGCTTGCTTTAAAAAAAAAGGAGAATGTTGTAAATAGTAAATTTATGAAACTAAATTAAATAAATAACATATTTTAAAACTAATTGAAGTAAAATAGCAACTTACTGTATAAATATTTTATTTACAATAGTAAAAAATATATTTATTAGTCCTAAAAAGAAATTTTGCGTGAAAAAAATCTTTTTTTCAATCATGAAAGAAACATTTATACAGTAAACTATTATTTACTCTAAATAATGTTAAAATATGTCATTTACTTAATTTAATTTCACAAATATGGTATTTATTAC